TATACTATCGTACCGTCGTCCGTCGTCTCTCTCTTCTTCGTTCTTCGTCGTCGCGCGTCTCTCGTCTCTCTCTCTTCTTCTCTTCTCTCTCTCTCTCTCTCTCTCTCTCTCTCTCTCTCTCGTCTCGTCTCTCTCTCTCTCTCTCTCGCTCGCTTTCTCTCTCTCTCTCTCTCTCTCTCATCTTCTTTAGTTAGTTGTGATAATAAAACCTTCTCTGCTGCTGTTCGCCGTTTCGAGCGATCGATCTGATCGACATTTAACTGTATAGTTTTCGGTGTCGTTCCTATGAATGTGAAGAGTTATCATTACGAGTTTACGATAATACTAAAGATTATTATTCACGTGGATAGGAGACACGCGTGTTTACAAGCGTAATCGCCTTCACTTAGTGTCACCAGCGCTATCTGTTAGTTTTATAGATACCTGCAACGTGCACTCGTGCACTTAAAATATCATATTTATTATAATATTATAAAAATATCATATATCGATTAACTCGCATCCCTCGATTGTCAAGGTTATTATTGATTTCCCATTATTGATGTGCATGAAACATAGAAATCTTTGGTAAGATTATCGGGCACATTATTTCTATGCACTAATTAAAACATATGGAGTATTTTGCGTTCGGAACATTGCTACATTTTCTCCGTGCCGATCGGCGGCATATTTTCATTTCCTAGCGGCAGAAGATGGACGGGGCCAAATTTGCAACCGTCCGCGTGTGTTTAATAGAAATAGGAGCATAGTGTAAAATAGAAAAGCTCAGCGAAACCCTCGCACAAACACGTACGTATACACACGCCGAAGATCTGTCTCCCTCAGAACAGACACAGAAAATGTTCGCCGCGAAATTCCAATGCCGTTCGTGCAGTTACATAATACATCAGTTAGCATTCAGCGCAAGTTTAGTCTGCATGGGAGTATCGGTGCTCGTTTTTTCTCTTATCGCGATCGCTCTCTCTCTCTCTCTCTCTCTATCTCTCTCTCGCGCGCTCTCTCTCTCTCTCTTTCGGAGTTTGTTGTGCGACGTGTGAGTTGACCAGGCTGGTAATTTCCGGCGGTAATAGATAATAATGGTAAATCGGGTTAGATCGTGTAACGTCGTTACAGTGGGCGTGCGCATCCCAGCGCGTCCGTGATCGGCAGGATTCTATAAACCATTTACCTAGGATTATAACGTTAATATTAATAATAGCTAATAAGTCTTAAAATAATCCCGGAGCGCGTGTGGATGCGCCGTGCTTTTGTGCGTAATTAGCATGCAAGCTGCATCCGCTAATGTAGTTAAAACCTATGATTTGAGTATAAAAAGTGCAGTGTTAACGGATACACTTTTGAATACTCATCGTGCCGATCAATCCGATGTCATAAATTTAAGCATCTATACATAAAAGCATCAGCTTTAACAAAATGCAGACAACCCTGCGTTAGTCGTCGCCTTTATAGAACGGACATATATATGAAGGACTCTTTCGTGATCCTTTTAGATTGCACTTACACAAGGAAAACACCTTTTTAGAAGCGGCTCCTGTCGTTTCAAGGATACTTCTCGGTTTCCCTTAAGTGACCCATCTATACGAGTTTGATAGTAACTCAATATATAAGCGCGCCTGAATTAATGAAATCTTTCGCGGCCGTAAGCTATGCTCGTCGTTGTCGTTAAAACCTGTCACCGGTCTGCCCTTGAAGGGCGCAAATTAGCTGTAGATAAAAGCAGCAGTAATTACTTGGCCGAGCGTGAAGATGATTACACTCTTTTGAAACAGGCAAATCACTCGGCCGATTTCACACATCTCCTGTGTGCGGTTCACACGCTGTTACTCCCCTTGTTTAAATTGGCCGCATGGGATTTTGCGTGTTTTCCAGGCAGCGGAGTATATACGTCTACCATATTCAGCGAAGAGCAACCGCCATGGCGACCTTCGTCACGTTTCTGCCACTAGTGCTCGGCCTTTTAGTTGTCTGCACAGCCGTAGAACAGAAGCTAGTCTACAAACGAGTAAGTATACGTACGCGTGTGTGTGTGTGTGTGTGTGTGTGTGTGTGTGTGTGTGTGTGTGTGTGTGTGTGTGTGTGTGTGTGTGTGTGTGTGTGAATGCGCATGCGTGTGTGCGCGCGCGTGTGTGTGTGTGCAGATGTGCGTGCGTGCGCGTGTGTGCGCGCATGTGTGTGCCTGCCTCACTGCGTGCGTTCGTGCGCGTGTCCGTGTATGTATAAACGTAGGCGGAGTGCTACATATTGCCTCATTTCTGTCGCATTTTTCTCCGGTGCAAAAATACTAGCATGATGCATTGAAGCGTCGATCCTAGGCATCGTGACGTCTATCGGCTACGGTTATGGGTACACATCGTCATCCGAATATGTGGTTTTCTGCGCGTCAAAGATGCATGTAGCTCTAGAACTATAGCCCATCACTCTGCCACAGGCCTGTGGCAGAGCGAAGGGCTATAGTTAGTTCTAGAGCTAGGATGCAGGTAGCCCGACGACAACTGTGTGTCGTGGGAACACCGCACCGCACGCGATTCATTCTCCATCAATGGCATCGGTTATCGACGTCCGTCGGCCGACGCCGTAACAGTTATCCCGGTCGTCGTCTGTTACAAGCGATCGCGTCGCCGTGCCGACAGCGTGAGCCGACCGCGTCAGGCGACGGTTGCCCCGATAGCTAATAATTTCTATACTAACAACCGAAGACGTGGTTATCACCAGCTTTGGTTTTATCAGTCTCGTTGTTATCTAATAGCCATCAGGATATCTGATAGCTAGGACCAGGCGTGCAGCAGTCACACGCACCAGTCACGCACCAATCACGCAGCAGTCACGCACCAGTCACGCACCAGTCACGCAGCAGTCACGCAGCAGTCACGCAGCAGTCACGCACCAGTCACGCAGCAGTCACGCACCAGTCACGCACCAGTCACGCAGCAGTCACGCAGCAGTCACGCAGCAGTCACGCACCAGTCACGCACCAATCACGAAGCGGTGATGCAGCAGTCACGCACCAGTCACGCACCAGTCACGCAGCAGTCACGCACCAGTCACGCACCAGTCACGCAGCAGTCACGCATCAGTCACGCAGCAGTCACGCACCAGTCACGCAGCAGTCACGCACTACTCACGCAGCAGTCACGCACCAGTCACGTACCAGTCACGCAGCTGTCACGCAGCAGTCACGCACCAGTCACGCAGCAGTCACGCAGCTGTCACGCAGCTGTCACGCAGCAGTCACGCATCAGTCACGCATCAGTCACGCATCAGCCACGCATCAGTCAGACAGCTGTCACACAGCTGTCACGCACCAGTCACGCACCAGTCACGCACCAGTCACGCACCAGTCACACAGCTGTCACGCACCAGTCACACAGCTGTCACGCAGCAGTCACGCACCAGTCACGTACCAGTCACGTACCAGTCACGCACCAGTCACGTACCAGTCACGCAGCAGTCCCGCAGTAATCACGCAGCCGTGGATGCCCGGCCTGACATCTCCGACCAGCCAATTTGACGCTCTATCGACGATGCGTCTCTTTTGTCTATTCACACCTGATGAGCGCGTAGAAACATGTAAGAGTGATAATTACTCACCGCTTCGTTAAGCGACGAACAAAGAAGCGGTCGCCGCGGCGGCGGGGGTGGAGTGGGGGGGGGTTGTGTGGAGCGGGTTATCACACATTATAACGGTGACGGCAGCGGCGGCGTATCTCTCGCGGCTTGCCGGAATCGCTGCAGTTGTGCATGATGGCTCATAGCCGCTCTGCTATAGCGATGAGCAGTTGCCGAGGATACATACATTATTCCAAGAGCGGATAATACCTGTATTATTAGCTCTTGATTATTCCCATCGCCGCTGCCACCCGCCGCCGACGTTGCCGCGGCCGTTGCTGCTGCCGCCGACGCTGCCGCTGCCGCCGATGCTGCCGTCGCCGCCGACGCTGCCGCCGACGCGCGCGTCAACGCAAACGAAACAAGACGGACGGCGATATTTTATTCATTACGTCCATCTGTCGCGATGATTGCTTCGGGCTGTTTGACAGAAATCGGAGCGAAGCCGCCATAACGAGCTTAACTCCGCGTTTATTACGCAATCCGGCGAGTATCGACTCGTTCGCCGCAACTCTCGCCATGCTCACCCACCCGCGACTGCAGCGCCACGCCGCGGACAGCTCCGTAGTCATCTTGCACAAAAACTCGGTCACCGGATGAGCGCGACCGGTAGTGTATAGGCCGCAGCATTAGCGCTAATACGAATTCGATAACAATCATAACGACGCGTGCCTTGTTTGTGTTGTGCGCCTGCAGTCGACTTCGTAATGGCCGCAAATCGGTGTAGGTAGCATGGCGCGCGCATTCACTGGTGTTTGGTAATCGGCTTCGAGCGATCACGAAATGGATATCGTGTGTTTACCTGCTATTGGTAACGTGCGAGGCTATTGAAGGTTGCACGGAAGCACACAGAAACTCGGACACACGATCGCCTGCACGCTCACAGACACGCGCACGCACGCATGCAGCCACTGACGCACGCACATGCGTGCGTTTGTACACTAGCATGTGCGTGACTCTGCACGCACGCGAGATCACCCCCCCCCCACACACACACACATACACACACACACCATACACACACACACACACACACACACACACACACACACACACACACACACACACACACACACACACACACACACACACACACACACACACACACACACACACACACACACACACACACACACACACACAAACACACACACACACACAGACACACACGCACGCACTGAGGCACAAGTTTTCAGCCGTTTCTATCTTTCTGTTTCGCTCTCGTTCACGCTGTCTCTATAAACTTCTCTTCCCCGCCTCCCTCCGTCGCTGTAACTCACGCTCTCTCCCTCTCTCTCTCTCTCTCTCTCTCTCTCTCTCTCTCTCTCTCTCTCTCTCTCTCTCT